CAAGGTTGAACTCAAGCCTGTATTGTTCCAGTGCAGGAGAAAAAATAGGAAATTTATGCTTTGGTCATTCATTATGTGACAGGTGTAACGTCCAGGGAAAAATGATTAAAATATTAAGACTCATTCATTCACAATGTGGCTCTCTCCTTCGTCACTTGAAAACTTTCCAGTCATCTCTTAAGCCTTAGCCACATAAGCCTTCTTTCCCTTCTAAGACTTAGGGAACACTTCACACCGCATGGTTTTGCTGGTGCTACTTTCTTTGTCTGAAAGGCTCCTCTCACAAGTCTCATCGCTATTCATTTTGATCTTAATTCAAATATAATTCCCTCAAAATCCCTTCCATAATCCTTCTAAAAAAGGACTGCATTGTATATACTGTAACTCCTACTATCCATTGTATTTCCAGCGTTTATTGCAACTCTAAATGCTTCTGTAATCATTTATCTAATGCATGTGTCTCCTTGCTGTTCTGCGAGTCCCTCAGTATTTCTTTCATTGTTTCTCTGCAGTGTACACCCAGGAAGTGAATGACTGATATTCCTCACCTCTTATGAGGTATTTGAAGACTTGATAGAAATTAAACAAGTTAACCTCATAGTAAGAAACTGGACTCTTCCATGTTAAAAAAAAATATATACTATTTCTACCACAAAAATGTTAACCAAGCTTAACTCAATCCCCTTACACTATTTTTATTCTTCTGTCCCTTCTCAGTTTATAATCATTGCAAATACAAATTAAACTCTAAAAGCAAGCGCTTTGTGAGAATTTTAGCATCAAATATTGTTCAAATAAAGACAAACTCAAACTGGATTGCAATGTTCCCATAACCAAAGGATAAATTGATGGCTTGAGTGCCAACCACAACACATAAGGGAAAATGAATAGCCTTATCCTCCAGAATGTGGCAGCTCAGTTTCAGTTTCAAGATAGGCAGCAGAATGCCTAATTCATCAGAAGAAAATAACCCAAAATATCCAATCTGTTGTTCCAGAATTAATGAGAATGCTAGGATTGCTCATTGCTTCACTTTTTATTGCATGTCTCCATTGAAGTCTAATACAGACTTTATCGCCTAAAAAATCCAGGTACCAACAATACAAAGTTACTATCAAACTACAGGGAAAGGTGGCTGTTTGCAGCAAGTATGAAGCACCTACATATAACTGAAATTTGTTTTTCCAAGATCTCAGACAGTGCAACACTAGAAATGTATTTTATTGAGTCATTCAATGTAATGGGGTCCCCTAAATATTTCTACTCCATATTTATTCTGCAAAGGCTGTAAAAGATTACAAAGCTCCTGCCACTGTTAAACCAAATATACAATACTCTTTATCTTAGGATAAGTTTATGAATTCTGAAGGAAGTTTACTTTCATTTAAAACAGTGGTAAACTTACAATAAAGAAGGAGGATTCTATTTGCTTTGAGAGTAAAAGGGCATCACAGAAGGTGCCTACAGGTATTTCAGCTCCAACTGATAAAGAACAATTAGTCTTACTTTGCTGAAAGATATAGATGTCTTTATCTTTCTTCTCAGAGCCTAAGATAATAATTTTAAAGATAATAAGCAAAGCTTCCTTAAACCAAATTGTGCCTACACCCACTTAACCACAGTCCAAAGGCATAGAACAACAAAAGTCATCAAATCTATGTATGTTATTTGACCAGCCTCTTTAAAGTCGTATGAGACTTCTGCCATAGACTTTATTTTTTATTTAATTTTTAAGAAAATAAAACCAAACAAAAATAAAACAGAATAAAGCCAGTCAAAGAAAACAGTGAATGTGATACAGGACTTCAAAACAAGATAAATTAGAAAATCAACAATGGCTGTCATAATGCCTCTTGTTATCTTCAAAAATCTGTCCATATCATCAGACCTAATAAAATCAAACAAAACAGAATAAAGTCAATTAAAACAAAACAGTGAAAGTGATATAGGATTTCAAAAGAAAATAATAGGAAATCAACAATGGCTACCATAATATATCTTGTTATCTTCAAAATAGTTGCCCATGCTATCAAGTATAATAAAATCAAACCAAACAAAACAGAATAAAACCTGTAGGTAAATGGATGTAACTTGTGATCATGCTCTTGAGCAAAATGGTTTGAACTTACCTAGATGAACATCACATTGTCTCCCTAGTATAATAAATCAAAGGAGTTGGTGGGATACAAAATGTACAATAGCTATTGTGAAAGTGAAAGGGGAGGAAACATTAAAAGGGAAGGTAGTGGCCACCATTAATGCCCTATTACCTTGTTTTAAAGTCCTACATGGTTTTCATTGCCATAGACTTTAATAGTATACAGGTAAGGAAAAAATGGGCAAAGCACTTACTTTTATCTTGTTAAAAACTTGTAACCAATCAAGACTATCTGACAATAACAGATTAAAACTGAAACTATATACTAAATGTAATTTAAAATTGGCGTCCCATCTCCACTTCCTTTTCCAACTCTGCTCTGCCCAACAAAATTCTTGGCAAGATTGAATCACCCTACTTAAAAAAATTCAGACTCTAAGTTTTATCACTTATTCACTTTGATCTTCTGGGCTACTATGAAACATGTCAACCTGCATGATCCCAAGAACACAAAGATGAATAATTCACTGCGGCATTATCAAAAGTTGGTGACCTACAGTGTATTGAATTTTTTAAAATCCAAAGACTCCTTTGTAAAAATTCTCATTAAAGACAGTATTGTATGTGCACGGTGTTTAGAACATTTGAACAAGCAACTATATTTACGGAGAAAAAGGAAAAAATAAAATCAAAATATTAGGAAATCTCCAGATCCTCAGTGTTTACTTTTGGAATGCTACGACTACCACTTTCTTTGGATTCCGCTGGGCTTTTACTGATCACTTTCATTCACTTCCCCCCACCATACACACTCACACACACACACACACACACACACACACACACAAGGCTCCTATCTCTCTTTCCCCTCTATTGTAACTGCCACCGCCTTAGGTTCAGCCTGAAGTTGTTCTCACTTATAATGTTCCAGAGGTTGCTTCCTGTTTGTTTGTTCATGTGTGTTTTATGCCAGGTTTTCCTTAGGTAGCCCAGGTTGAACTTGAATTCCCCAGGTATCCCATGTGAGCTTCAAACTTGAGATCCTCCTGCCTCAACCTCCTGCAAGTTATTACAGGTGCCAGCTCCCACACCCAGCGCCCAGGGCCTTCTTCACTGACATTTCAGCCCAATGGCTGTACAGTAAAGATGGTCACAAAAACATATTTACAGCAACATGTTTAAGGATAGAAACATGTACACTTAGCCTGGAGGACCAAGTGAGGAAGCTATATATGTATATATACTCTTTGAAGCGATAATAATCTCTGAGTTTTGATCTGAGGAGCACAGAGAGTATTTTGACCCCTAAAATGATTGTGATATGAGAATGCAAAACTGTCTATTTTTCCTCTAACATTCAAAGGATCTGCTGTTTACAGGACATGATCTTAGTCCTTTGCTCAGTTAATGCTTAAACTAGCAAATTGCATTTAAGAAAAATGAAGCACACAGAGGTTAAATAACTTGCCTCTGAACCCTGTCAGTAACTGTGAAACACAACTCAAGCCTAAATAACCTGGCTCTGAGTTTATGCTATTAATCTTCATGGCTCCCAGAAAGCAGAGGTTATGTTTTACTCACTGATGCATATTTAGTGCCTATCTTGCTATCTAGGTGCTGAGAAGAAGATCAATCAAGCACTACGGAAAAAAAATGAAACAGAGGGGCCAAGTGCTCACATTTAAAAGTGAACATTCGGTAAAAAAACTTCCAAACACACAGAAAGGATGAGGCAGATGAGGACATAGAGTAGGCTCCCACCAATCGAAGTCCTGATTGCTTGAATCCTTGGTCTGGCCATGGGGAATTCCTCAAAGGCAGATTTGACCCTGTCTTTCCCAGACCTTATCACTGATCAATGTTTTGCCAAAACCTTATCACTGATCAATGTTTTGCCAAATTTTTGTAGACATTTTTTTTTTTTCCTAATAGCTAGAAGACAACAGCCACCTCCTTTGGAGCAAGGCACAGGGAAGCCACAAGGTTTCTTGCGGACTGTGTGCCTCCACCTCCATATCCTAGCAAGTTTGCCATCAGTCAGCAATGTATCCTGCTTGTTGTAATAACAGAACAATGCTTATAACTGCTTCAAAATGCAACTTCAGGAAGAAAACTATTCCTATCTTGACCCCAACATCTCCTGTCCCATATCTGCCTTCCTTCTGAGCACTCCAAGCTGTAATTTCATAAAGATAAGCAGTTTACCCATCTGGTGCTAGCTACTTAGCACCTTATACAAGTCCCTAATTCTCTAGTCTCTGTTCTGTTTCTTCAGTCAACACAGTTATAAGCAACCACAAGGCTTGCCCCATTTCCATCTCCTGGACTTCAACAATTAGCCCCTTCCCTCGCCCTTCTCAAAGACAAAGCCATTCTTCCAAACTCTACTCAGCCAAGATTTCATTTAAGATTTTCCAGGGCTGGGGATTTAGCTTAGCGGCATAAGCGCCTGCCTTGCAAGCAGGCAGTCGTGACTTCGATCCCTGGTACCGACAAAAACGAAAAAGACAAAACATAAAAGATTTTCCTCACTCTGCACACTTCCTCCCCAAAGTATTATCTCCCCAGTTCCTTTGCCTGCTTCTGTGGGCAGTGGTGGTGTCCACTCTGCTCCACTGTACTGCCCCTGGAAGCAGTCCCCCCTCAAACACCCAGAGTGCCAAGCCATCTCCAGCCATACTGGTAAAACTCTAGTTTATAGCAAATTCAGGACTTATCAAGTAACTGAAAAGATAAGACAGCTGGCTGGCTCTGAGATTGAAATTCGACCCAAACTGAAAGGTTTGAGCATCTCAAATTTCTATTTTCTTTCCTGACAGAAATCCAGGTTCCAGATCCCAAGGATGTCCAAGTTCTCAGCACCCAAAAAGTTAGTCACCCGAGTTGGCCTAGAGCTACTCACCAGCTGGTGGACGGTGGGTGTCTGTTCTCCAGAGTTTTGGTCCAGGGTTTGTACCAGCTGATCTGCTCAGCGGCTTTGCCCCAGAATCTCTCAGGGTCGGCCACCGAGGCGGCGAAGTGGGTCTTGTACTCGCCGCCCCCGGACGACAATGCCCGGGAACCACGGGCCCCAAGAGCTCCCCGAGGGCCCGGGGCCACCAAAGCCCTGCGCGCCGCGCCGGCTCCGCGGGCCGAGGCGGACCCAGGCAGGGGCCCCCCGAGCCCCCCGGCGCCGGTGACTTTGCGACACTGTAGCCAAGACGGCTTCATCCCGCCGACGGACCCGCGCGTCCTGCCTGCGCCCCGGAGCTCGCGCGCTCCCGGCCACCGGCCCCCGGGCGACCTCTGGGCAGCTGGGAGCCACCCGGAGGCGGGGGCAAATGCTGAGGTGTGCCCGGAGCCCAGAAGTTTGGAAGTCACACTAGAGTCGCCGGGAAAAACCGACCTGGAGCCACCGGGAACCCACAGGCTGGAGTGGGGACCCGGGGTGGCGCAGGGGTGGGACGGTGGCACAGGTCAGTAGCGGGATCCGAGGCCCACAGCGTGCCCAGCCCGAGGCGTTATCAGGAAAATCACCTTCAAACGGCGGATCATGCAGCTATGGGAACACAAGCACGCCCAGGCCGAGCCCAAAACCACCAACTTGCTCGCACTTTGCAAACAAGCAGCAATGCGCGGTCTGTTGCTGGCGGCAGGCGGCGTCGCCTCTTGCCCCATTCCGGAATCCACAACCCTGAGCACTGCTGCGGACTCCTGAGTTACCACGTTTAGTTATTATGCATTCGTTTCTTTAAAACTCAGTTCAGTTCCAGGCTACTAAAAACACGAAGAGCTCTAGAGCAACGATTGCTCCAGGATTTCCCAACAGCTGAGAGGTAGGAGGAGTGGAAGGAGGTTGCGGCTTAGATTGGGGCCCGCCAGGAGTGGTGATTGACAGGCCGCTGAGAAGGTGCCCGTGGGGATGGGGTTCTCCGGTGTCTGTACTCCCTGCAGGAGCTGGAGGCCCAAGAGCTAGGAGCTGCTGCATTTAGTCCCTTCTAATTGGCCCCTTTGGGGTTTCTGTGACACCCCCTTTTTTCCACCACCACCCCCTTTTTTTTTTCCATCTGCCCTTCTTTTTGAATGTTGAAAGTGTCCTAAAATTGATTCTGGGTGGTAATGGTTGCACAGCTCTGTGAACTAACAGAACACCATTGTATCGAAACCTTCAAAGGTCTGAGTTGTGTGATACGTGAATTACATCTTAAATAAGGTGTCCAAAACAAAACAAAAGAAAAAGCCAAGCGAAGATGAAATAAACCCAGAGGGGAGATAAAGGAAAGTGGGAAGATTAAAAGAGAGGGGTGGTATAAAGTACTATCTGGATTTAACAAGCTCTGATGCTTTACACACTTTAATGAAATCCGGTTGAAATCTTTAGCCTTACTATTATGCCAAACACATTCTGCCTTGGCATAACAGTATTTTCAGCCTTCAGTGTAAACATATGCACTCCCCAATCTGAGGTGAGAAGGAGTGGAAGGCCCCACCCTGGAAAGGATCAGAGCCTGAGCAGCTGTAAACAAATAATTCTGCAGAAAGAAAGTAATTCGTAGAGAATGGCTAAGCAGAACTGACAGAAATCCAATGCAAAATAGGGGGAAAAAAGGAGTAAATACCACTTCAGCTATTCCCTTTCAACTGAGAAGCAAAGCAGTATGCTTTTCCCTGACACTACGAAATACTTGTTTCTCCCAAAGTTCTCCTATCACATGATCTCTTACCACACTGCCACTGCTGGCTTCTTGGATCCTCCTTCATTCTACTTCATGGCTTAATGCTCCTCTCTGGCACGAAGGTTTCACTGATTTCAAATTATCCCCCACTGTATCCCAATGCTATACACTTTGATCTTTCATTTAATATGTGAACTGGCATTGTGTAAGGTGTGGATTATTGGTGGAGACATAAAACAAGGACCGGGTGATTGATAGTGGTCCTTTGTACGTGCACATGTTGAGCTCAGCACTTCCAAAATATGACAGTTCTTGTGCTTCTCAAAAGAGAACTAAGAAGTGGGAATTATAATCCCCTTGTCTGTAATGGAGCTTAGAGACAGGCTAAATTGCTCCAGGTCACAAAGCTATTACAAGCCAATCAGAAGGAAACCTTGTTGATCCTTAGTGCTTCAAAGCCAGGATCCCTGGAGTTATCTGTGAGCCCTGATACTCAGCTCTGCCCTTCTGAAGTGGACCAGCCCCTCCAGCCCTGCCACTCTAGCAGTGCACAAAGCTAATTTCTCTGTTTTATGACTTGAATAAGTAGGGAAATCTGATTCCAGAAACTGTATTTTCCTCCAATGTTGATTATCTTCCTATCTGAAAAAGAATTACACTTTCACTAGAATATGATTATTTGAACATTCATTGCATTTTCCTTTGAGCAACCCAACTGAAACAACTGAGGAGTCAGGGATGCAGACTTAGATAAGCCAAGAAGGATGAAGAGAGCTAGAAAGATGGACATAACAATTGAAAGAACAGAAAGGGGGCTGAGGATTTAGCTCAGCGGCATAAGCTCCTGCCTTTGCAAGCAGGCAGTCGTGAGTTCAATCCCTGGTATCGATAAAAAGGAAAAAGACAAAAAAAAAAAAACAAAAAAACAGAAAGAAGATGGATCTATGGTATGTGACTAAAAGACAGAGAGGACCCAAATGTAAATGCCAGTGGAGAGGAAAACAGATTACTTCCTTAGAACCTAGACTGTCTTTGGATTTGAAGGCCCTGAGTTCCTAGGAAAGTTCAGAATGAAAACTTGGGTTTAACAACTAGAGAATTGATGAAAAGGCTGTATAAGGTAAAGTTGGGTCCTCATGTTGTCCACTGAAACCACTTCCTGCAGACCCATCAACACATCATGTTTCTGTAGGTAATTGTGCAGACTGGATTGTGAACACAAGGTCCTTTTAAAGCCAAATGAAGGGCAATGAGCAAATGCACAGTCCAGCAAAAGTGAGGAATCGGAGTTGGGCTTAATGCAATGTGCACAAAATGAAAAAGAGTGATCAGGATCAGAAAACTGCCTTGCTGCAGGCCAGGTAGGCAAGCATCAAAGAGTGTCATAGGTCAGCACCTAGGGTAACCTTTTGGCCTGTAAGTCACTGAAAATCTCTGGATTAGCCACTAAGCATATTGAAAAATTTAAGCCCATTATCCATTGAGTCTCTTGTTGCATTCTGATAGTGACATTTACTAAGTGTGAAAACTTGGAAGGTTTTCTAACTTTGTTTGCTATAATTTTTACATCTGTAATCTGAGGCTAATAAACTTACTTTATAGAACTGTTGTGAGGTTTAAATATGGGCATAGGGCAATAGCAAGCCAAGCTATTTCGGATAGCTGTGAAGCCCGTGAACAATCAGTCCTCTAAACAAACCAACTCCCTACAAATTCAGCTTCTTTAATATGCCTAAAATTTAGTCAAAACATTTCCAAAGACATGATCTTCACTTAAGCATGCAGGTAATATTTACACAATTTCAAAAGGGACAGAATTATCACAACCCATGTTTATGCTTTTAAATGCACATTATTTATTTCATATGATGTATGTAATGATGCAACATATGCTCTTCAAGGTGATATTTTAAGTGCCCTGAGTAAAAATCTACTGGTGTTCTCTGAAAATATCCTTCTAGTCAGAGAAAAATGCAAGAGGATGGAAAGATAGAGAGGAATGCGTGTAAAGAGCGTGAAAAGTTTTGAAGAAAGTATAAATGAAAAGGAGAAACCTGGACTCTGAATACTTAATATCTAAGGAGAAGAAGCAGAAAAGCAGAATGGCACTAGAATGAGAAGGGAGAGAAAGGAGGCGAGGGGCCAGCAGGGCCTTTCAGGGAAGGAGAGCAGGGGGAGGGCAGGGGAGAGAAGGGAAGGGGAGGAAGAAGGGGAGGAGGAGGAGGAGATGAAAGTTTAGGAGAGAGAATTTTTAAATTATTATGAATTTCTCTGGATATATATCTGCTAGCTGGTCACAGTTCATATTTTTACCAACATTTCTTAACAGCTGGAAGTTTTATTACAAGTACTAGAATTATTATATTGGGTTTTTGGGGGGAAAGTTGTTTGTTTTTTGCATTATGGCTCTTACAGTTCTAATGTCTATTATAAAAACTTGGCAAGTGACTGTGTTTGCACAACATACTTTATCTCTGCAGCAGGTACGTGATGAGATTGCTGGGATGAAATATGGGACTAAAGGGACACTGCAGACTTACTCTGGTTTAGTGAAACATTTCTGGAAAATATGCAGAATTTTAAAGATTGTTATAAAGCTTCTAAAATGAAATAGTATCTCTAATGAAATTATAAACTCCAATTTTAAAATGTGCTTCTCTTTACACAATTTTTGCAACAAAGACAAGGAGAAAAAAAGTAAATACAAGACTTCTTTTAAAACATTCCAGTGGATGGAAAGATACTTAGTAAACAACTTCAGCTATCTTTTTGCCAAACAAAATACAATGTAGGAGCCATTCACCAGCATTTTTAAAAAAAAAAATGTGGAAAGACAAACTAGAATGTATTTCTACTTAAGAAAGTATTTAGTGGTTTCTATGTGGGGAAAAAAAAAAAGTGAGTTGAACAACCTAAGCAAATATTTGTAAGCCAAGCAAATAAATACCTCTTCTTGGTTTCTCAAATCCTTGTTTAGATTTTTCCCAAAACATAGCAGTTTATCACTGAGAACTAAAACCTTATGGCTGCAGTTGTACAAGGTCAATAAAAGTAATAAATATTTTAACCAAATCTTTTAATTTTTCTGTAAAAGTAATTCCTAAAGAATTATACTATCTTTATTTCATATCCTTAAACTAAGAGCACTGTATGGTACTCAAATATTTATAATACCTTAAAGACATAAGAAGTAATCTCATATTATAAAAAGATATGATGAAAAGGAAAAGAAATCTCTTTTGTCATAATATTTTTAATAAACTATAATTGATGCCTAATAATATTAATTTCCAATTAATATGTTTCTATGTGGATGTAGGTCTGTGTGTCAGCAGTGAGATGAGTGCCTATGAAATCAAAGTGAAAATAATATTTACAACCATTTTACAAACAAAATAAGATCTGCTTTTACGTAACAAGGAATTGGGCAACAATTGTTGGACTTCCAAAGAACACAATGATTTCATCTAAACTACAGTTTTAAATTGAAGGAAATACAAGGAGAAAGAAATGGCTTTATTTATTTGAAATTAGATGTCTCATTTATTTATAGAAAGCACTGTAGAAAAAGAGAAAGTTGTGAGTATAGGTGTGCATTTTGAGATTATTTTAATGTGACATTGCAACATTTAGCTGTGTGATTTCTCTCTGGGACTATTTGTACACCTCCAAACCTACTACTACATTACACAATACATTTCCGTTTGAA